GATAGACTTACCTCCACGTGGTGCACCCTGGCCAACGTATACGCATACGGCAAAAAAGTCTATCTACCGGCAGTTGACTCCTGACTTCAAATTACAATGACCCTGCTGTACGTCATATGCGACCCCTTCCACAGTACTAATTTTACCTTTTCTATGCCTTTGTGTCTGTCTCCTTTTACAACTGTGAAACATTATACTGTTCCCCCTCTCCACTTTTTGTCACATTGATGTTCTTTCCCTCTGTGAAGCCCGAAGTCAACTAAAGGGCTAATGATAACTATCAAAACGCCTGCCATTTGAAATAAATAAATTTAGTAAATTGCAGTATATACCAAGCTCATGAGCATGAGTTGTACACGCTGGTATTTTGTAAGCATTTTCCTTCTAATAATCAAGTAAAGTGATGGGTTTTAATATCATTTAGAGTTCAATGTTATAATATAAATTTGACTTTTAGTCATTTCTTGGTCCAGGTCACAGAAACTAAAGCTGCTCACCCCGATCAAAGGAATTTAACTGCATTAACATATATGACATCAACCTACATTCAAATTAGCTCTTGCAGTGGTTAACAAACGGTGAAAATTAATAACTGAAGATGGATTCAAAAAGCAAGAAATATGAAACAAATTCTGAGCAATAAAGACATAATTTCAGAGTCAAGAACAAAATTCCCTTTAGCGGGAATTCGTTGATCTGATGCATTTAGAATTTCGTTTGGTTCATATTGATCCATTTTAACGTTTTGCTGTTAAGATGCGATGAAAAGTCGCCAAAACATAAAAGAAAAAAGATTTACACGCTGTTACAAGCTCAAACATGTCTTCAGAGCTTCCTCAATCGCATGCAACTGTCCAACCATTCTATATAAGGTCAGTATTAAGACATGTTACATCTCAAAATAACTAGCAATTCTTAATGCTTCAAATGGCAAACTTCGAGATTAGAGATAGCATAACATTTTTAACCAAACTAAAGTGGCAAACTCTTTAGAAAATGGAAGTTTTACGACTGGTTTATGGGAACTCGGCACCTTGTAGAGCAGTCATTTATAACTGGATTAAACGCTTTAAAGAGGGGAGAGTACAACTTGACGACGACCCAAGAGGAGGGAAGGTATTTTCACTAAGCGATGTACAACCCGAGACGAAATCTGGATATGCCAATTAGAGCCAGGGAGCAAAGTTCAATCAAAAGAGTGGCAACCAAATGGAACATCTGGGCCAGCCAAGATCAGAGTTAAAAGGTCCGTTAAGAAGGTCATGGTCACTAATTTTTGGTATTAAAAAGGAGTGACGCGATTGATAAACTTTCTAGAAGGAAATGGTCACCTCTAGCTATTTCGAAGAAGCTGAAAACATCCCTGCAAAAAAACGGTGCAAGAAACTGTACAATCAAATGCATTTCCATATTCCTCAACAGCTGTGAGGGCCCTGTTGCACGAATTTTGATAGGAAACCATCTCACATCCCCCTTATAGTGCAGACCTAGCTCCTCCAGACTTTTTGGTTTCCAAAAAGGAAGGAGCACAACACAAGCACCCGATTTACGTTTTAAGATGAAGTGAAACAGCATGTAATTTCATGGTGCCAGAGACAGACTCCAAGATTCTGTCATGAGGGAAGTTACAGATGGAAAGATAGATTACAAAATTGCATAGATAACAATGGAGACAGTGTGAAGAAATGAACATAATCATTTGTTATCGTATCAATTAAATGATTGTCCACTTACGTGCAATAAAGTCCCTGATCGTATGAACGTCACAACTACTTCGAATCATTTTCTCAACAACCGACAATTGGACGGGGGTAAGTCGACGATTTCTGGGGTAGGTTTTTGCATGCTCAGGATCAACATCATGGTTGTGTTTTAAATTAAATTGAACAACCCGGAGTTTGTTTTGAAAGCAACTGATAGTGATACGCGATCGGCAACCAATCTTTGCAGATCTAGTAAATAATAGTTACTAGGACAGTATCTTACCTTCGAGCTCTAAGAGGTACGCTGTCTGAAGTGTGCGTTCCATAATGATAGCATTCATAAGCAAATGACTTGTAAACAAGAGTAGATGCAAATGTTGAACTTTCAGGAAATCTCTTTGTATTACGTTTGCGGTAAAGAGACCCAGTAAGTTGCTGAAACTCATCCATTCTGGCTTGCAATTTTGCATAAGTATCAAAGAGTGAATCTTTAAATAACGCTAAAAAAGTTGGTGTACAGTCAACATCTCCAGGGCATGGTTCATCTAAAAAGAGATTAATTAGAAGACTAAACTTCACTACCATCCTCTACTGTATAGGATTCGGGTAGCACGTTTGATGGATCAGTTTCTTGATACCCCTCATGATTGTGAACCATATAGTACTTGACAACACTGAGTTTGGAATTGCGAGAGCCTACAGTGAAGTAGGCTGGGCAGCCCGAATTTCCTTCAAAGCTAAAATACGTAAACGCCGAATAGGTTACTTACTCGTATCCGGATTTCTTCTGCTGTTCACATACATAACGAATGTACTTAAAGGAAATTAAACTACGCTCTACAGTATCCGGTGGAAAATATGTTGAGCTTGTCGATTTATAATAGGTATGAGTTGCCTTTTTGGAAAGTAGTGTTTGTTAAATAATAAAACAAGTACTTTTTGGAAATCCTCAATAGATTTGATAAATGAATCGTAAGTAGAAAACCGGGTTGAACCTAGGAGATTCTTAAAAATTTCAGAACAATCTAACGCAATTTCCATAAAAGAAAACAGCAACACGAATACAGTACTACTAGCGGAAACTCAACAGCCGAATTTTTTCGTAAAATTTTCCAAAGCGCAGATTATTAAAACAAGCTTTATAATTAACTAATAAGAATACACTATTTAATGTTTAAATGTCATAGTAAATTAGAAAATCTGGGTAATTAATATTTTTTGAATGTTTATTCTGGTAATTGTAAATACTATCTCATACGGCAAAATTTTTGAATAAAGTACTTTAGATGTTGATATTGCTACTGGTTTCTGATAAACTTTCGAGATAATCAATAATCTATAGCATAACTGTTTAATGCATGAAAACAATCCTTATTATTAGAAGATTTTTAGGTCATGTAATGCAAGTACTAAATATTATCATTTTTCATCAGTTAGATTTTATGCCTTTAATGAGCGTATTTCTTTCCTACTGATCACTTGTAAGATCAATAAATGATATCATTCTCGCATTGTGAATACATATTAAACCGGTTTTGATGAAATTTTTTAAATGATTGTTTTAACTTTACCATCACTTCTTAATTCTGCCTGTTGCTCACTTTACCTTTAAAATATTTCGAAATTTACATCTTCTTGAAAATAAGATCAAAGAGGTTTGATCTACCATTGGCGTTATGTTTTATTTTTTCGTATGAAATTAGAATTATACTGGCACATTGAAAAATGAAGCAGTTGGTATTGTTCATCTTGCATTCATGCCATAACCTGTAGCGATTAATTATTTTCTAATTTAAAATATTCCTTATCACAAGTTGCAGTCGATTCACTCGTAATTTAAGATTTATGTGAATTGAAATTAATAGTTTTCTGACCTGCTCCAAACTTTATTAATCTATAAATTAGGAGATAATCGGGGTTTTCTTTTCTTTTCACTTAAGTCATGCTTGACTTTTCAATATTCGAGAGAAAGGAAAGCATTTAAATAAAAAATGATGGTGAAAAACAATTTAATCAATAAATATTCTGACTATTGTGTGTCACAAATTAATCTAATGCAAACTATTCTCGAGTCCAAATTGGTAAATCCATTCAAATTCTTTTTCTTTATAGCAAGGAACTATCCAGTTGCTCACTTTAAGGTCTGCTCTTCTCTTAGGTTTCTGACGAAATTGTTCTGAAAGAATTCGCTACAATGAATTCTATAACTCCAATGCAGAAACTGCTCAAACTGCTTTGTATCGATGTGTCGATTTATATTATGGGCCATTTGCGGCTGAAATGTAAATAAATCTGTTCAAACAATGGGGAATCAATAGGAGTGGAAATAATAGATAGGAAAAAAGGAAACTCAAATATACCGATTATTTTAGAAAAATGACTTTTATATGGAGCAGTTCCATATGAGTGGCCTTATTATTTCACGAAATGCCCAAAAGAATGCATAATGCATGAAGGAAAACCGCATTTTAAACATTATCACAATACTTCGACTAGGGCTCCTTGTCAACCCTTTACGGTATGCTTGGTTTAAATCCGTCTCTGCCAAAACAAACAACAGAAGCAGATTCATGTGGCAACTTTATGAAATGCACAATTTCTTGATCAGAGTTCGCTGACGTTGTTGAGAAGTTGTAAATTTATTTTGACGAGAAAAGCTTGTTATTAAATCAAGCTTGCATTTGTACTACTTTTAGTTAATGGAAGAAACTTCTTCTTACTTGTCTCCTCGGTGCTGCAAAATTTGGAACGAAATTTTGCATTTGTGTGCCTAATTGACACTTTGCCCCGTTTTAGATTAGTATCAGACGGATTAATACCAAAATTAATACGGCTATTAAACTCCATCTAAGCTAATACATAATACTGTGTATATTCTAAATATTTAATGATTAACACAGGTACAAACTAATTATATCTATAGAGAAATTTTATTTTTAGTCCGCGAGTTTTGATCACAAATGTTGAGTAATTCATTAAAAATAGAGTTTAACGTTCTTTTTCTTGGTTGGAGACATGAATTATGTAACTTTTCAGGTAATAGAGATGTAGCCAAAATTAACACCATTCTGAAAGGCCAGTCTCTCAAAAGTATCTTTCCTATTATCCTTCTTCTAGATCCAGAATAAGTGCTTTCCAAGAATTTCCTTCCTCGGATACCTTGACGTGTCATTAAAACGCCTTTAGTCCGGAATAAAACTACAGAGTGCCGTGAAAATTAATATAAATTTTGAAATTTAAATTTTGAAAATAATTGAGAAATGAAAATGAGCTATTATATTAAAAATAAGCGACATTTGAACAAAATATTTAGTAAGGTGGCCGAAGGTAATTAAAATTGAGGATATCCCGAGCCAAATGAGCATTTTAATTTAATAAACTAAATTTAAATAATCTGCATATATTTAAAGCGAAACTTTTTCAGACCTCTGTTTGACAGCATTTAATGATGAGGAATCATTACAGAAGCACAGGCTCATAGTGGGAGTAGTTATTTTAGTATTATTCGAATTCTAACTAACTTTGTTAAATTCCATTTTCAAAAAAACTTGGAAGTACGATAGACTTACCTCCACGTGGTGCACCCAGAGGAACTTATACTCTTACGACAAAAAGTCTATAAACCGGCAGTTGACTTCTCATTTCAAACTGCCATCACCCCACTGTATATCATATTCGACCATTTCTCTGCCTTTGTGTCTGTCTGACTCTTTCACATCTGTAAATCACTCTTCTGTTTCCCCTCTCGAATTTTCCCACTTTGAAGTTCCTCCCCTTTGTGAAGCCTGAAATCAACTAAAGGACTAATGATAACTATCAAAACCCAAATCATTTGTTATAAATAAAAACATTTTTAAAAAATATTCCCTAATCAATTATCCAAATCTTTGGAATTAACATTTAATTTTGGAAAAAGCAGAACATTTACGAAAGAAATCAAATCACATTAGAATGTCACAGTGTC